ACTCAGTGAGTTGACTTATACTTTTAATTGAAAAACTCATGCCAAGCTTCTGCCAGTATTATAGCCGTACATAAATAGAGGATGTGGACATTGAAAACTTTGGAGGACATGCCAAAGATCAAGAAACTTGTCATCGTACCACAAGTTATCTTATTTTATATCCTGATGTTCTATAGCTGCCATAAATGTTATGAAGCTTTAAAATATTTTCTTGTGTATGCATATGTGTAGCAGGACTTTTTTATGATGACCTTCAACAGTGATTCACCATGTTTTGTGTTGATCGTGTGCCAAAGGTGCTGAAACTGAGCCAAGTATAAGGGCATGGAACCTTGTATTACCTGTCAGTACGTGTCAGTTTGTCAAATGAGAGTACATAGTACATCTCTCGAAACCACTCCTCAGCTGGGGGGAAGGGGGTGGGGGAGACTCATCTACTCAGAAGGTGTTTCCATGCAGTTAAGAGTGCTCTGCAAACATTGTAGTATACTGATCTAGAGCAGTGGTCTCCAAGCTGTGGTCCCGGGGCAAAATACCCCCCCACTGAAATTAATGAAGGGGCACTTTTTCTTCCACTGACACAAATGATGGGGTACTATTCCTCCCACTGACACCAATGATGGGACACTATTCCTCCCACTAACACCAATGATGGGACACTATTCCTCCCACTGTCACCAATGATGGGGCAATATTCCTCCCACTAATACCAATGGTGGGGCACTATTCCTCCCACTGACACCAATGATGGGGCACTATTTCTCCCAGTGACACCAATGATGGGGCACTATTCCTCCCACTAATAACAATGATGGGGCACTATTCCTCCCACTGACACCAATGATGGGGCACTATTCCTCCCACTGACACCAATGTTGGGGCACTATTCCTCCCACTGACACCAATGATGGGACACTATTCTCCCACTGACACCAATGTTGGGGCACTATTCCTCCCACTGACACCAATGTTGGGGCACTATTCTTCTTACTGACATCAATGATTGGACACTATTCTTCCCACTGACAACAATGATGGCGCACTGATACAAATGATTGGGCACTATTCCTCCCACTGACACCAATGAAGGGGCACTGTTCCTCCCACTGAAACCAATGATGGGACACTATTCCTTCCACTGACCCAATGATGGGGTACTATTCCTCCTACTGACACCAATGATGGGACATTATTCTTCCCACTGACACCACTGGCGGGACATTATTCCACCCACTGACACCAATGATGGGGTACTATTTCTCCCACTGACACCAATGATGGGACACTATTTTTCCCACTGACACCAATGATCGGACACTATTCCTCCCATTGACACCAATGATGTGACACTATTCCTCCTACTGACACCAACGATGGGTACTATTCCTCCCACTGACACAAGGATGGGGTACTATTCCTCCCACTGAAACCAATGATGGGGCACTATTCCTCCCATTGACGCCAATGATGTGACACTATTCCTCCCACTGACACCAACGATGGGGTACTATTCCTCCCACTGACACAAGGATGGTGTACTATTCCTCCCACTGAAACCAATGGTGGGGCATTGTTTTTGCCCACTAACATTGGTACCTTTTTAATTCCCAATAGCCACAATCTTGTCCCCCTACAGTCTGATGGACAGTAAACTGGCCCTTTGTTTAGAAAGTTTGAAGACCCCTGATCTAGAGCATGCTGTATTCAGCATAGATACCACATTTTACCAGTATCAGAAAAGCTTAGGGCATCTCCAGCGGACATGAATTAGATCCACTTAGTCTCTCCCAAATGTCGTGCAATTAGAATCGCCATGTAATCCAGTTTTAGAATCTGTGGCATATGGTATGTCCTATGTAAGATGATTTTTAAAGGACGTTGCTTTTCCCAGCTCAGTTTTCAGTTTCTGGAAACCATAGTAGGGGAAGAGAATTCTCTATATTTCAATTTATTTGAACCAAAAACTCTTTTTGTTAGATCCTTGTCTGGACTAATAAAAATCCATTTTTCTTTATCGCTGCTCACATCAACCCCAACCTGCAATCATGTAAACGCACAAAAGGCCACATTTAAACCAAAAGCCAGTTGAATATTTTTCGAATGGGGTAGGCTCAGATGTCATCAGGCGCTCGGGGACCTCAGTGATCCTGATGACCTCACTAAGGAGAAAATGGGGTTGATTTACTCGAAAAAACCTGTTTGGAGAGCTGTGCATGTTAGCCAATCAGCTTCTAACCTCAGCTTGTTCAATTAAGCTTTGACAATAAAACTTGGAAGCTGATTGGTTATTCTGCAGAGCTGCACCAAATTTTGCCCTCTCCAGTTTTAGTAAATCCCCTCCAATGTGTATAGTAGGACAAGAATAATATCACATGTGTACTCCCTCTGGACACTTGCATAAGGTGGAGTAGCATTGGTTCTCATTGGTGATAAATGGCTTTCCCATCGAGCAAACTAAATGGTGTTCTTATGTACTGTTAAAACTGTACTATGTACTAATAAAACTAGATTTCCATTTTCAAATCTGCTTTTTTGCTAAGTCCGCAGAAGTGCGAAAACAAAAATCTGTAAGTGAACAAAAAAAAAAGTGCAAGTGCGAAACACAAACACACAAAAAGTGCACTTAGGGGTGTGCTTTAGTCCACCCCTCAAAGGGGGAGGACCTCTACCTGATCCCCCACGGCGCAAGGCTCCTGACAGGGACAAAGGTTTCCACATTGGTCCACCTAGCCAAAAGCCTGGTGGACCCTTTCCTTGTGGCTAGCCAAAGCCGACCACCAAGTACTGGGTCAGAGAGCACTCCTGAAGAGAGACCCCCCCCCACAGGAACAGGGGAGGAAGGAACCTAATGGCCACGCATCCTCCCCCTAGAACTCAGGGCAGGCCCGAAGACCCACTCCCTCCATCCTAGTGAGAAAAAAACACACACAAAAGTGAAAGGTGACAAAACGGTGGGAGAAAAACAAATAAATAAATAAGTGGCCTTAAAATTGTGCACTGGCTAGGCCCTGAGGCCCATAGCAAGAAAATTGCCCTGGACTTAGCCAAAAGGCCTAGCCCTAAAAGGCGCAGTGCAGAAAAAGTATTTGGAACAGTGACCATGTGCACTTTTGACACTTGGGTTCCCACCCCCATGTGTTACTAAGAGCACCCCTGAGGCGACCACTCTCAGGTGGTACTGCTCCACGGACTCTCTGCCTCCCCGGCCCCTGGCCAGACAAGGTAGACCCATTCAAATCAGAAGGAACTGGGCCCCTCCAGTTTTCCAGGGGGAATTACTCCCGAGCTCCAACAGTCTGTGGGGTGCCACGGTTTCTCTTCCAGTCGATACTAACCTTCAGAGCCCCCATCATACCAGCAGGGGTACTATACAGCCAGCCATCCTCGCCCAAAAGCAAGAATGTCGACGGAGCACCCTTACTGGACACTGATAAGAACAGATACTACACTTGATCTTAGCCAAAAGGCCGAGATTATCAAATCATCTTCTTTTTAATGGAAGCATGGATGTTTTTATGAGGGACTCCAATGGTAAATAGTTTGGATGCTTTACCCAGTAGTGACCACCGAGCCTGTTGAGACCTATTGAGGGGTCATGGGAAGTTTTGGAGTCCCTTTCCATATGGAAGTGGGATACCCCCCATTACCTTCCTCCCAATGCTTCAATGAAATATTTTATTTTTGCAATTATTGTGGCCATGGCAGGGCACCGTTGTCCTAAGGCTGCCACCTTTTAGTGGATGCAAAAGAAAACAAACAGAGGGCTCACCGACCTAGTGCATTATCGTAAAAAATATTTATTAAAAGGATAAAAAGTAGGTATCATACAGACAATGGAACATATAAAACAAAGGCACATCACAATAAACAGCGTGTCCAATCCATTTAGCATCTAAGTCCACAACAATGGAACCCTGGACCTCCAACTGGCTAACGCGTTTCGAGGACTCAGCTCTCTGCTGAGTCCATCCCCAGCGCAGGAGTACAGAATTTGCGGTTTGAGTCACCTTTTAGTCCCTGAGCACAAGGAAAGTGCTATTTAACCAGAAATGATTGAATTATAATAAGCATTGTAAACCCAAAAATGTTACCATCAATGGGTTTCCATCTCTATTCTCATTACCAAAACGTGTTTCCCTGGAAATTTTATTCTTCAATTTGTCTTTTGTCAAATCACAAACACTATTTGCAGAATATGTAAAAAGTTTTTTTTTTTAATTTGCAATTTTTAACCACTTCCTGTCCAGCCTATAGCAAATGGATGGCCGGGCAGGACTTTAGTTGTTTGGGGTAGACGTCATATGACATCCTCCCGTTGCGAGCCTTGCACGTGGCCATGTAGCTGTGATCTGTTATCGGCCGTGTCCGACTGATCAGTGTACTGGCCCGCTGCCGGTACCATGTAATCGCTGTGCCCAATCATAGCAAATCACATGATAGTGATTAAAAGAAGGGATAGTGATTAAAAGAAGTGATAAAGCTGGTAATGTGGTTGAGGGGTTCTCATACAAAGTGAGGATTATGAAAAAGAAATTAAGAGACAATTACCGTATTTTTCGCTCCATAAGACGCACTTTTTTCCCCCCAAAAAAGGGGGGAAAATGTCAGTGCGTCTTATGGAGCGAATATAAAGCGGACGGTCCGGTATTTCTGCCGCCACCATGTCAGAATACCGGGCCGGCCGCTCAGCTGTTGTCTCCTGCAAGGCCTTACCTGTTCCTCGCTCCAGCGCTGCACAGTCTTCCCGCGCTGGCTTCTGTGACAGCCGGGTGCCCACTGCGCATGCGCTGCGCTTTGTGAATGATCCGGTGTCTTCTGGGACACATGAAAGGTCCCAGAAGGCGCCGGGCCATTCACAAAGCGCAGCGCTTCTCGCACATGCGCAGTGGGCACCCGGCTGTCACAGACGCCGGCCCGGGAAGAAGAGGGAAGGCAACTCCGCGGAAGTGGGAGCGGGTACCTGTCAAATTCAGGTACCCGCTCCCCCTCCCTCCCCAAAGGTCAGCAGTCTCTGGTCATTCCCTTCAATGTCTGCAGTCTCTGGTCATTCCCTTCACTGTCTGCAGTCTCTGGTCATTCCCTGCACTGTCTGCAGTCTCTGGTCACCTCCTGTACTGTGTCTGCAGTCTCTGGTCATCTCCTGTACTGTCCGCAGTCTCTGGTCATTCCCTGTACTGTGTCCGGAGTCTCTGGTCATCCCCTGCACTGTCCGCAGTCTCTGGTCATCCCCTGCACTGTCCGCAGTCTCTGGTCATCCCCTGCACTGTGTCCGCAGTCTCTGGTCATCTCCTGCACTGTGTCCGCAGTCTCTGGTCATCCCCTGCACTGTGTCCGCAGTCTCTGGTCATCCCCTGCACTGTGTCCGCAGTCTCTGGTCATCCCCTGTACTGTGTCCGCAGTCTCTGGTCATCTCCTGTACTGTGTCCGCAGTCTCCGGTCATCCCCTGTACTTTGTCCGCAGTCTCTGGTCATCTCCTGTACTATGTCCGCAGTCTCTGGTCATCTCCTGTACTGTGTCCGCAGTCTCTGGTCATCTCCTGCACTGTGTCCGCAGTCTCTGGTCATCCCCTGTACTTTGTCCGCAGTCTCTGGTCATCTCCTGTACTGTGTCCGCAGTCTCTGGTCATCTCCTGTACTGTGTCCGCAGTCTCTGGTCATCCCCTGTACTGTGTCTGCAGTCCATTGGTTCAGAATATTTTTTTTTCTTGTTTTTCACCTCTAAAACCTAGGTGCGTCTTATGGTCAGGTGCGTCTTATGAAGCGAAAAATACGGTAAATGATTTGAATACATATCATCGATTGCATGAAAACCATTCCTTAGAATAGTGAATATTCTAAATAGGAAGATAAATTGGGCCCATGAAGTAAATCTTCTGACTAAGCAAGAGTATGATATGCTCAATGTTGACATCTATAATATTCCTACGTTTTATGTGATTCCCGAAAATACATAAAAATCCATCTCAACCACCAGGGCGCCCTATATTGTCAGCAGTAAAGGGCCCACTAGAAACAGTAAATTTAAAGATGATCTTATTAAGGATTTAGTAACTGGATTAAAATCATATGTTAAAGATACAAGGGATGTTTTATCCAAAACTGAAGATATTAAAGTCCCTGATGGGGCATTACTAGTTGGTATAGATGTCAAATCCCTATATACCGCAATTCCCCATAAGTGGGGATTGAGGGCAGTAGCTTACTTTTTAGAGGCACAATTTCCAGAAATGGGAGCTCACAATGAACTGATCCTTGATCTTCTAGAATTTCTACTAACACATATTTGCTTTAAATTTTTTATCAACAAATCTGCGGCACGTCAATGAGAGCTCCTTGGGCCCCAGCTTATGCCTGTCTGCACTTAGGACTATGGGAGAATGATTTAGTATATACATCACCCATGTTTAACCTCCCTGGCGGTATTCCCGAGTGTAGCTCGGGGTAAAGTTTCAGTATCAAAAGCGGTAACCCCGAGCTACACTCGGGCTTACCATGCGGCGTTCTCCGGGGGTCCCTGCAGCACTTACCTTGTCCTGCGCTCCCCGCGATGTCCCCCCTGCAGCGTCCCCGGCCATCTCCTCCGGCCGATGCCGGCATCTGGATTCCGTGTTCCGGTCCCTGTGACATCGGGACGTACGGGCGCTGGAACCGGTGGGAAATTTGAAAATTTAAAAAAATGACTTTTTTTAAAAACGATTATTTCATAGCAAAACATTCCTGTATCAAACCATTTCACATACATTTTGTCCCTACTGCTTTGTCCGGCGCCCTGCCTGCATTTTTACTGTTCTTTGTGCCTGGAAACTCAGAAATGTCCATGGCGTCCAAAAAGCGTCCCTTTAGGTCAAAATTGGTTTTAGACCAGCTAGAGAACAGCGATAGTAAATCAGAACAACTTGCAGAATTGAGTGATAATGATTCGTGGGGGAATTCATCATCCGACACTGAAAACGATTCTGCGACTTTGCTCAGCGATGTGCGAACTTGGCGCTATATTTCACATTTCAGTGTTTTTGGTTTGATTACATTATTGAATTAAATTTAATATTATTATATTATTATTTTTTATGAGTATTTATTAAATTATAATTTATGATTTCGTGTTTCAAGTTTTATCATATCCAGAATGTTTACTAGACTCTTGTTCGGACAGATTTCAGGGAGTTATTCTTAAATTACAGCCTACAATAAAAAAAAAAAATACATATTTCCATGCAAAATAATGGTACCGCTTTCAGCACCAAAAATCTGAAATAATCAGACCGCCGAGGAGGTTAAAAAACATGTTGTAAAGTGGCTAAGATATACTGATGATATTTTAGTGGTTTGGGATGGAGAGATCAAACAATTAAAAAGATTTTTGGTCGATCTGAATCTAAATGATAGAAATATAAAATTAACATACATCTTTGACGATGAAGAAACCTCATTTTTGGATTTATCCATCTCAATCCATGAGAATATTTTGACAACAAAGACATTTAGAAAAGAAACAGCAGCAAATACACTTTTACATGCCACTAGCCATCATCCTGAGACATTGATACAAGGCATACCAATAGGTCAATTTTTTGAGGATTACAAGAAACTGTACGGATGAAATGCAATATAAAATGCAAGCAATACAACTTTATCAAAGGTTTAGAGAAAGGGCCTATTCTCATAGAACTTTGAGAAGAGCAAAACGTAAGGCCTCATGTAAAACTAGAAAGGACTTGATTACCAATGTTAATTTGAATAAAATTGATAATAAATTACAAAATGAAAAAGTGAGGTTCATAACCAAATTTGGACAACAATGGAATGATGTTAAAAATGTTTTAAATTCTCATTGGCATTTATTAACCATTTCAATACCGGACAATTTTACACCTTCCTGCCCAGGCCATTTTTCACGTTTCAGCGCTCTCACACTTTGAATGACAGTTGCGCGGTCATACAACATTGTACCCAAACTAAAATTTTATCATTTTCTTCACACAACTAGAGCTTTCTTTTGGTGGTATTTAATCACCGCTGGGGTTTTTATTTTTTGCTAAATTAACAAAAAAAGAGCGAACATTTTAAAAAAAAAAAACACGTTTTTCTTTGTTTCTGTTATAAAAGTTTACAAATAAATAATTGTTCTTCATAAATTTAGGCCGAGATGTATTCTGCTACATGTCTTTGGTGAAAATAACCCAAATTAGGATGTATTATTTAGTTTGTAGGAAAGTTATAGAGTTCACAAACTATGGTACTGACAGCCAATCTAATTTCTTCAGGTCCAAGAATGTCAGGACAGTACAGATATCCCCCAAATGTCAGGACAGTACAGATATGCCCCAAATGTCAGGACAGTACAGATATCCCCCAAATGTCAGGACAGTACAGATATCCCCCAAATGTCAGGACGGTACAGATATCCCCAAATGTCAGGACAGGTCAGATATCCCCCAAATGTCAGAACAGTACAGATATCCCCCAAATGTCAGGACAGTACAGATATCCCCCAAATGTAAGAACAGGACAGATATCCCCCAAATGTCAGAACAGGACAGATATCCCCCAAATGACCCCTTTTTGCAGAGTAGACAGTCCGACGTACTTCATAAGAGGAATGGCGAGTTTTTTGAAGTTGTATTTTTTTTGTCATAATTTTTCAGAAAATGAAAAAATGAAAAAAATTATTTTCACTATTTTTTTTTTTTACATACTGTCACCAGTGCAGTACAGCGTCATCATATAACTGGCATGGCAGTGAACAGGGACACTGACTGGTGACAGTATGAAAAAAAATATATATACATTTTTTTTTTTATTTTTAATTTTTTTATTACATTTTTTATTTTTTTAAGATTTTTTTTTCATATTTTACTATGACCAAAGTAGTACAATGTTACCATAGTAACATTGTACTACTTTGGGGAAGTGATCAATATTTACACAATTTGCTTATAGCAAAGAATTACTTTGCTATAAGCAAGCATTTACCTGAATGACATCGATTCATTCAGGTTTTTTTTTTTTTTTTTGTGCTTAGCTTTGATTTGGCCACAGCTAATCACATGACATGTGCATGTGACCTGCTGTAACCATTCACAGCTAGGCACTAGTATACAATGGATGGCATGAATGAAGCCATCCATTGTATACAACTTTCATGTGACCTGCTGTGATTGGTCACAGCAGGTCACATGGTACCGGCAATGGGGGCCGGTACTCAGATCTGTCATCGGCCGTGTCCCAGGTACACGGCCGGTGATAGATTGCGCCGCTGCGCGGCTCTGCAACCACGCGAATGTGCGGGAGGACGCCAAATGGCATACACCCCGGAAAGCTAAACCATTTTTGCGGCCGCCAAACGGCTATAGGCCGGGCCGCTAATGGTTAACTATGAATCCAGGGATAGCACAAATTGTAGGGGATAAACCACAGATGGTTGCAGAAAGAACTTCCAATTTGAATGATATTCTGGTTCAATCAGAATTCAAAAAGGTTACCAGAGAAAATTGGCTAACTAACATGAATAAAGTTACAGGAATGTTTCCATGTGGCCACTGTCAGATTTGTCCTTAAGTACATAAAACTAATCAATTTCACAATATAGATGAATCTCAAACCTTCCAAATAAAAAATGTTAGAAACTGCTCTAGTAGTAGAGTGGTGTATATGATAGAATGTCCATGTAAAAAATTCTACATAGGAAAAACCAAAAGACCATTATAAGCACGCATTGGAGAACACTTAAAGAGATATTAAAAATGAAAATAGAAATAAAAATGACAAGGAAAGAGAGAATCCCAACATTTTACATCATGGGAAAACTGATGGTCTAAAAGTAAAAGGAATTTTTCCTTTTGAATATTTCATCAAGGAGAGGACTTTGACTTTTTAAAAAAAGAAAAGATTTGGATATAAACATTAGGGACTTTATTACTACATGGATTAAAAACTGAACTAAATTTTTTAAAGCATTTTTGAATTAAATCCTTAATGGGTTATTTCAGTTTGGATTAAATAAATTAAAGAATCTCTGAAAATGAATTGCTATAATATATATAGTTTAATGAATCTATATTTATATTGTTATCTGATGGTATTGAATAAGTAATAACACTATCTGAAGTGTATTTTAATGTTTTGGCCATTTTTCTGATGTTCATCAATCATATGCATTTTTAATGAATTTTGGACTGACAATGTAATGATGACATTTCAACACAAGAGGGCGAAATAGTGATGAAAGGATCCAATTAATGCACTATACAGAGAGGAACAGAAGTATTTGAACACCCTGCGATTTTGCAAGTTCTCCCACTTAGAAATCATGGAGGGGTCTGAAATTCACATTGTAGGTGCATTCCCACTCTGAGAGACAGAATTAAAAAAAAAATTTAGGAAATCACATTGTATGATTTTTAAAGAATGTATTTGTCTTGCACTGCTGAACAGAAGTATTTGAACCCCTGAGAAGATCCGTGTTAATATTTGGTACAGAAGCCTTTGTTTGCAATTACAGAGGTCAGACGTTTCCTGTAGTCCTTGGCCAGGTTTGCACTGCAACAGGGATTTTGGCCCACTCCTCCACACAGATCTCCTCTAGATCTGTCAGGTTTCAGGGCTGTCGCTGAGCAACACGGAGTTTCAGCTCCCTCCAAAGATGTTCTATTGGATTTAGGTGTGGAGACTGGCTAGGCCACTCCAGAACTTTGATATGCTTCTTATGGAGCCACTCCTTGGTTCTCCTGGCTGTGTGCTTCGGGTCGTTGTCATGTTGGAAGACCCAGCCACGACCCATCTTCAATGCTCTGACTGAGGGAAGAAGGTCGTTGCTCAAAATCTCACAATAAATGGCCCCATTCATCCTCTCCTTAATACAGTGCAGTCGTCCTGTCCCCTTCGCAGAAAAGCACCCCCAAAGCATGATGTTACCACCCCCATGCTTCACAGTAGGCATGGTGTTCTTGGGATGCAACTCATCCTTCATTTTCCTCCAAACACGACGAGTGAAGTTTAGACCAAAAAGTTCTACTTTGGTCTCATCTGACCACATGACTTTCTCCCATGCCTCCTCTGGATCATCCAGATGGTCATTGGCAAACTTCAGACGGGCCTGGACATGTGATGACTTGAGCAGGGGAACCTTCCGTGCAATGCATGATTGGAAACCATGACAGTGTAGTGTTCTACCGACAGTGACCTTTGAAACTGTGGTCCCAGCTCTCTTCATGTCATTGACCAGCTCCTCCCTTGTAGTTCTGGGCTGATTCCTCACCTTTCTTATCATCAGTGATACCCCACGAGGTGAGATCTTGCATGGAGCCCCAGTCCGAGGGAGACTGACAGTCGTCTTTAGCCTCTTCCATTTTCTAACAATTGCTCCAACAGTTGATCTATTTTCACCAAGCTGCTTGGCAATTGCCCCGTAGCCCTTTCCAGCCTAGTGGAGGGCCACAATTTTGTCTCTGGTGTCTTTTGACAGCTCTTTAGTCTTGCCCATGGTAGTAGTTGGCATCTGACTGACTGTGGGGTGGACAGGTGTCTTTAAAGAGCTCAGACAGGTGCTACTAAGTTAGATTAATGAGTGGAGTAGAGGTGGACCTTTTAAAGGCACAGTAACAGGTCTTTGAGAGCCAGAATTCTTGCTGTTTCTTAGGTGTTCAAATACTTCTGTTCAGCAGTGCAAGACAAATAAATTCTTTACAAATCATACAATGTGATTTCCTGAATTTTTTTTTAAATTCTGTCTCTCAGAGTGGGAATGCACCTACATTGTGAATTTCAGACCCTCCATGATTTCTAAGTGGGAGAACT